TATGCTAGAAATAAAATCATGACATAACAATACACAATCATTGCTACGAGAAGGTTACAAAAATGAGCAAACAGAAAAGAAGCGGAGAAAATATGGCAGCACTCGGCAAACATACTCAGTAAGTTTTAAAATTTCACAAGCAAAAATTAGCATAATACAGTGAGGCGTGCCGTTTTCACCACTTCTGTCCTGAATTAAACCGTTTGGAGTTTAGTTACGTGGACATAAATTTAGGATTTTAACATAAAATATCCCAAGTAATATAAAAACAAACATATGTACGACGCGCCCCAGACTGTTCAGCACTGTCTGAGCCGGTCGCAGCACGTGAGGTTATTTTTTTAACGTGCCGAGCTAGATATTAACAATCATCGCTTATTTAACCTTTTCATTGTTAACAGACCTTCAATGCCAAAGTTGTAGCACTTGTCGTGAACCGGCACAATATTTCGTTCGTGCCAAGTCAACTGCCAGTCTTATAAGATGGGTTGGTGAGAAATATTGCTTTATTCACCCGTAAAGTAAAGCCCCCGAACAGTTTTTCATTAAATAAGTTCCCACAATTGTTCAGCAATTTGCGCTTATTCCGTTTATTCTATAAGGTAGCATTCCGATAGTTTTTTTTTTTTGGCCACTTACTTTTAGAGTACCAAAGATGAATAGTATACTTCGCACAAAAGTGATCTGAGACACCCTGTATACGTTGACGGAAACGTTTCTATTTAAATAATAACAATAATAATATTATATTATACATATCTCGAGGTTTACTTTTCAAAACGAATATATGAGCATAAGGAATGCCACAGTGAAAAGCTACAAAAATTTGGAGCGCCTAGTGTTCCTTATAACGTTTAACAGAATCACACAGTACACGAGCATCTAGCGTTTCACTCCCACTGATACGAGACCGAATAAATTTAACCCGTGACCTTGTAGTCAGTAGCCGAGTAACGCTATACGCCATCGCAGCCGACAAAAATTTTTGCATTGTGTCCCCGTCGAAACGAAGACGCCGTGGATGTGAAGACAGTGCATGCTCTCATGCATAGTCAGCAGCGAAACATCAAAGCCCGTCAGGACTCATTGTCAATGTAAGCTCATCATAATTCAGAGGTGCTTGAAATGGCAATAACGATTATAATGAAGAAGAAAACTCGTCAAGCTTGCCTTATGGACTCGCAAAACAAAGGATCACGGAGGGGAAGCTGGAGGAAGCGGTCCTTTCCGGGCAGACAGACAGACGAAGAATTTTCATGAGGGACTGATGGACTATAGCCAGGAAAGACCCGCTGAGTTCATCGACTAGCCTCCGGCTGCTCCCATGTCGGAATCAGGAGGTCATGCCTCTCCGCTCTTTCACGAACTCTCTGGACGGACGGTAATTTAGATATTCAGTGCACGACTTGCGAAGGTGTCTTCCCAGCCCTGTCCGCTTGTGTATGACGTGTCGCGTGACGCAAGACACGGCAAGAACATGTGCGCTAGGCAGTTTAAAAAAATTCGGCAGATCCCACGTATTTGGGAATCCACGTTATGCGAAGCATGCGGAGGAAAGGTGACTATGTTGCAATTTTTTATTGAGCGACACGCCATGAAATGACGCTAAATATATGTGCAAGTTAAATACTTGGGGCATGAAATTAAACACATCAAAAACGCATTGCATTTCTTTTACAAATAAGAAATCCCCCCTTAACTATACATATAGGATTGGAAACTCAATTATCGAAAAATGCAATCAAGTAAAATACCTAGGCATTACACTCACGCCGAATCTTAACTGGGAACCACACATCTTGGCCATGTGTCAGAAAGCGGAAAAGAAATTATCTTTCTTGAGAAGAAAACTGCGCAATGCACCACCACATATTAAAATAAATGCCTACAAAACACTAATTAGACCATGTTTAGAGTACGCCGATCTCATCTGGAGTCCACATCAAAAGTACCTGATTAGCAAAATAGAACGAATACAAAAATTGGCAGTAAGGTTCGTATATTCAGAATTCGCGAGGCAGTCCAGTACCGCAGATTTACTCGCAAGGGCAAACTTAAAACAACTTTTTCAACGCAGAATAATGTCACGATTAAAATTCCTCTACCAATTATATCATGGTCATTTCCACATATCACGCTCTCATTATCTGCAAGATCCACTTAAACAATCATTCTGACTAAATCATTCTAAAACAATACGCCAACCTTTAAGTCGTGTAAACGCTCACAAACATTCACTTTTTCCGTCAGCTATCTCCCTCTGGAACAGCCTACCCAACGACATTGTTTGTTGTAGTACGATTGACTCTTTCATCAACCGCATACAGTGTATTGAATTTGCACCATGATTTTTTTTTTGGCAATGTATGTATTTCGATGTATCTGTGTACCCACTCCTGCTTGGGCCGTGAAGGGCCTGCAGTATATTCAAATAAAAAAAAAAGTTTTGCACGCCCAGACATAAGTTGAAGAGTTGCACATGTTAATATAACCAGTTGCTTGATTGATGTGTGGGGTTTAACGTCCCAAAACAACCATATGATTAATAATGACGCCGTAGTGGAGAGCTCCGGAAAGTTCGACTACCTGGGGTTCTTTGACGTGCACCCAAAGCTGAGCATACGGGCCTACATATAACCAGTCGTTTGCACTTGCACAACTACGTCAACTGGAACATGCGCATTAGTACCAGGGGCTGATATGGAGCGGTGATGCTCGCGAAAATTCTGGCCCTGCACACTGCTTCATAACTCGACTTCTGCGCATGGCACCTAACCACAATTGACGTTAACCCGGCCAGACTGCTGTATCAAAATAGTACATATGTAATGTTTATAAAAGTAAGTAGGCAGCACTACAACCACTATTAAGGTTTTACGAAGATTAGCGTGTATTTAAAAAGTAGTTCCGAGACCTGGCGTAGCTCTGTGGTAAAATGTTTCATTGGCACCAAGAATGCTCGGGTTCGATTCCAACTGGGACTCGTCGGGTCAACGCTACCAACGTCGGGTGTTTCTTAACACTCGCGCTTTTTAATTGCCTATGTGTGTTCTCGTCGTTCCTGGGTAGACGCTAAGCGTTTATAATCTGTGGCACATACCCGCATTCCAGTGGCACATACCAGCCCGTGCATATGTGCCACTGTCTGGCGGGAAGTGTTTGACGACGTACGTGACGGGATTGTGACATTAATCATATCTTGTTAAGCGCGTCGTATTTGTCAAACCATCTTACCGTCTCATGCTAATTTTGGTTCACGCCAAGTAAATGGGGTGACCAGGAGAGTACCTTAACGTAAGCAGCTAGATAGATATAGATAGATAGATAGATAGATAGATAGATAGATACGCTCAAAGTCACCGAAGTTCGCTAAGAAATGCTTTGCATTTATAATTCTTGCGACGGCACGCAAGTACTACTTTTTATGACCCATTTTGTCTCTTTCAACTTTTTTATTGCATAACTCTCTTCTTTTCCACCACAAAACTGCGGCACTACTTGAGGCAGTTTGCGAAAAAAAACTGTTTAGCCATATGGCGGCAACATCAAGAGTGGTTGCAGTGTTTGCTATTGACTTTTACGACTGCGCAATAAACCCTACATATTAACTCCCACGACTCACCAGGTTATGGTGGTAATCCAGGCATAACGAGACATAATCTTAATCGTGATCTGACACCATACCTTGCTCTTACTAGCCTTTTCAAATGCTCCTACTTTCTTCAGACCAATCGCGAATGGAATACACGGCCCTCATACGCTTTTCCTGTACGTGGCATTTCTGACTAAACAAAAAATACATGCACCTTTTCGTCTAGACAACATTGTTGGTATTACCACGCAAGATTATATCATCTTATTATTTCATTTGTTTAGCTCCTCTTTTGTGCTTGACACTGTTTCTAGAAAAATCGTGCGCATTTTTTTTTTCTAGAATTGTATACTTAATCATCTTTGTTAGCATGTACTTGATATTCAATAGTAGTGTTTGTTTTAAGTTGCTATACCTTTTACATGTATAGGTGGTACATGCCTTTACCCACCTATTCCTTCGCATGACAAGATCTTGATTGATACGTGGGGTTTAACGTCCCAAAACCACCATATGAATATGAGAGATGCCGTAGTTCAGGTCTCCGGAAATTTCGACCACCCGGGGTTCTTTAACGTGCGCCCAAATCCTAGCACACGGGCCTACACCATTTCCGCCTTCATCGGAAGTGCAGCCGCCGCAGCCGGGATTCGATCCCGCGACCTGCGGGTGAGCAGCCGAGTACCTTAGCCACTAGACCACCGCGGCGTGGCATGACATGATCTTGTATATTGAATAGTATCTACGAAACTTTTTTACTCACTTTCTTGTATTGGCTGCGAAAAGACAAGTGGCTAATGCACAGCGACTGAATGATGATCGGACGTGAAACGCCAGGAAAAAAACGATCTTTTTCTTGTAATACAGTAGGTCCCCACGCAGCTGACCCGTTTGGCTCACCGCTCCGCCCCTTCATATATAGGAAAGAAAAAAAGCAAGAAGGTAAGTAGCATTTGCATGCGGAAACTGGCAAAAACGACGTTTACACACTCGCCGCCATGGCTACTGTCGGCGCTGGCTGACAACCCCTCAAATATAACAACAATGCACAGTCGGACGGACAGGGCAATGACCGCCGCCGCTGCTCGAATGGCAGAGCACCGGGTGCGTAAGGGGCCTTCCTTGGCCTCGTTGGGCTCGTTATGATAAATGCGCCCTTGATCCATTCCCGTTCCTTCGTACATACCGCGTAGACGGCAGTCGTGAATAAAGGATCAAACAGCACTCTTACGGCCCCTAATCAAGCGCCAAGCACAGAAGGAATATAAAGTATATGCCGATATGCTTTCACAAGGTGATTACGAAATCTGGCAGTTTTCCTTCACCGGGTAGAGGACATGCTGCCTTGGATGAAAACAAAATGCATCCTTGCTTTCACCCACCGCTTCAGATCGTAGATTGCGTGCGTGAACGGAATAGACGTTGCGTAACAATCTTTTTCTTGCACGCGGCAATGAGCCTTTCCTCGTTTCTGCGTGTCCGTCATTGCAGCGAATGCTTAACTCGGCGGCTGTGAAGTCTATCGAGGAAAACTGCCTGCGCCTGGGTGTTGGTAAGAACTGCGAAGATGTTCGTGAAGAACGCTGCCCTCCCTTCAGTGCTGGTAGCGACATCGTTGCTAGGTAAGCCGTAAATTCAGTACATACCCTTGGTTGGCTACGATTCACGTGCAGTGGTATGTTGTGTATAACTGGTTGTGTCACTGTATGCAAGATCTATGTATTCCTGTTGGCATTAATGCTTCGTTGACTGTGCCATTGTGTCTAAAACTGATGCATTGCTTTTGGCTCATCCACCTAAATCACTGTCTTATCGTCTACGTGATGGGCGGATGCTTTCGGTGCGTTGATCTCGTTGACTGTGGCATCACGTTCAATATCAAAGCATTGCGCTTCGCACGCAGAGCTATTTCAGTGTGCCATAGTGTGCGATATGGCGCATTGCTATTGACGCGGAGACCTCATTGAATGCGTCAGTTTTTCGAAGCTCAACGCCCTGTTTTTGGTGTGCAGACCTTAAGCCTGCGTCATTTGCTTGCAAGATCGGTGCATTACTGTTCACATGTAAACCCGATCAAGTATGCCATGCCCGAAATTCACGCATTGCTGTGCCGCACACTCCTCGTTAATTGCGTCAATGCGTCAAACAGCGACGAACTTTTTTTGGCGCACCCACCTAAATCATACGAGACCGAATGGTCATGTGAAAGAACGACACATACCTTTTGGTGCGCTAACCTTGTTTACTGTATCATTCCAAGGTCGGTGCATGGTGTTTGACTTACTGTGTTTGGCACACACTACTGTACTGTGCCAATGGGTGCAATATCGACGCATTGCTGTTGGCTTGGAGACCTAATCGAAAGCATCATTTTTAACAAGATCAACGCATTGCTTTGGGCGCGCAGACCCTGTTGACTACGTCTTTGTGTACAATATTAACGCAATTATCTTGGCACACATATACCTGTCGAATATACCACTGTTTGCATGAATATGCCACTGTTGGCATGACTATGCGACTGTTTGCATGGGCGCAGGTTTTATTTACTCTGTCATTGTGTCCAAGAAAGACGCACAGCTTTCGGCGCACCGACCTAGTTGGCTGCGTGCAAAATGAACGTATTACATTTGGTGCGCTAACCTCCTTGACCATTTCATAATATGTAAGATTGGCGCGTTGCGTTTGGTTTGACTCGCAGAATTAGTTGACTGTGTCATTGTGTGCGAGAATAATGTATAGCATTTGGTTCGTTGAGCTCATTGACTGTGTCATGATGCCTAATATCACGCAGACTTGTTGGCGCACACACCTCGTTAACTTTGTCATTCTGTGCGAAACCCATGCATTGCTTTGGCCTTGCCGACCAATGACGATGCATTGACGTTGGCGCGTATATCTCGTTAACTGTGTCATTATGTCCAAGATGGACGCATTGCTTCGGGCGCGCAGACCTTTTCGACTGCATCATCATCATCGTCATCATCACAATCATCATCAGCAGCAGTGACAGCAGAAGGAGAAGCTCCATGTTTACCTGATATGTTGTAGCGTTACATTTTGAAGAGGACAACGCAGAGAAGTAACCTACATTACAGGACGGGCGCTGTCTCCTTCTGTATCACCGACTAGCCCTGCCACGCGTTTTCGTAGGTAACCACTACGATCCTAACTATGGTCATTGCGTACTGTTCCGCCGGTCAACCCGGTTTCATGCGTTTTGCGGCCAGGTTATACCCGCATTCTTAATAACTTCTGCCCACATAACTTTATGACTCACTTTTGGTGCATTTGCCTTTTCTTGGAATTCAGTCTGTTACCTTTAATGAGTACCCGTTCTCTTGCTTACGCGCTACATACCCTGCCCATGCCTCTTTTACTTTCCGATTTTGACTAAAATGTTTTAATGTCCCTTAGTTCTGTGACCCACACTGCTCTCTCTTTTTTTTCGCATTTCGTTACACCTATATTTCGCTTTCTATTGGTGGCTGCGTTGTTCTCAATTTAAGTCCAACCTTCTTAGTAAGCCTTTGCTCCGAACGTAAGTACACAAGTTTTGAAGACTGGACCAGTTGGTTACACACTTGAGTTGGTACACCTCTTTAGAAAGAAAGAAACAGCCGAGCAGACCAACAAACACACACACACACACACACACACACACACACACACACACACACGCGCGCGCGCGCGCGCGCGCGCGCGCGCACACGAACACGCACACGCACACACGCACGCACACATACACACGCGCGCGCACACGCACACGCACACACCCACGTGCACGCGCACGCACACACACACACACACACACAAACAGAACGTAGACTTCCAACAGAGCGTCAGTAGCATATTTCATCAATGTGTAGACTTGCGCAGGCATAAGAAAAATACCCGAACGTGACACCAAGATTGCTCAACATCATGGCAACGTCAGATGAAAGTTTCATAGATGCTTGGCCTAATGAATGAAGGACACTTCATGTTCAGGTAAAGCCAACTAAGGGGCGCTGATAAATGTTATGCCAGCTCTTGCTATGCAATGCGCTTCTGTGAAGGGTGCTTTTTCATCACTTCATTGATAAAACAAAGTGTAACACCCACAATCATCGCAGTGAATTTTAATGTGGCCCTGGATTAGTTTGTGAACATTAGTAATGGTATTCACAGCATTTCATTAAGGCAGTGCCCTGTTGACTGATATACCTCTTAACACATGAGTATACTATATAGAGTAAACAACCCCTGGTCCACATGGCAGAAACCACGTTTAATCTTTGATGGAGTCAACACAGGCGTGTGGTTTGAGGGGAGGGACTGTTTTTAGAAGCCGCTGTAACTTCTGCAGTGTCAAAAGCACCACTTTTACGCTAACATTCTCACCAATCTTTTTATTTAGAGGAAGTTATCATGCACAGTCAAGAGTAAGCCCTGATTCTTCTACAAGATTACACTGGGAAAGCAGGCAATGGTTGAAAAAATTATTGAAATCTGGCGAGAACCAGCACTTTCGTTCAAAATGAAGATTCGCAAGTGTTGCAAGTTCTGACTTAGGTACATTGCCTCTCACACTCTCCCGTTCGTTTATGGGATATGAACTTGGGGGAGTATTCAATACCTATTGTGTAAGTTTTCCTCATTTCCTATACTCAGGCCTTTGCTGGGCGGAACCGATTCAGCTGAAGCAAGGGTGCAAGGTAGAGACCCTCAGAGCATGCGGTGACACCTACCTGCCGTATTGGAAAACAACTCGCCTGGAGGTTTCGGGGGAACCGTTGCGGAAAAACTGCCAGTAAGTATAGAACGGAAACTAAGTGCTGGTTTCGATTTTACGAAGCACATAGGGGGGTCACAGCATCAGATAAGGACAGCGATTCCTAAATCAAAATGGGTAACAAGACTGTAAGTTAGGAACACTTTGTGTTATCTTGATTTTATCGCTCTCATTGGATATATAACCTAGCACCAAGTAATTTAGATGTGTATATCAAACCCTCGTGCGGCTGTGTTGTCAGTCACTCAAAAATAACCAATATATGAAGGCCAATTACATGACGATTGACAAATAAGAGGCGTTAATTTAAGAAAATGGTCACATATGTGCGCTGCTGGGTTCAAAACGTGGAGTGATTTAACGAATGTAGCATAACTGCGTTGTTGTTCTGTCAGTGGTATATATTTTCTGTTAATTAAACCTTGTCTTGATTTTATGTATGATCAAACAAAAATGTAGAATTGTTGATGTACCGCCGAATTATTCACGGGAATCGGAATAGGCTAACTTCATTTCCGCAAATACTTTGGGTGTTGGAGGCACATACAACTTCAGCAGCATTAGGCGAATTTCGGCGAGCGCTGTTTTATTCTGCCGGCAACATCACTTCACAGCCCTATGAAATTTCATGCCCCGTCATGGTGGTCTAGTGGATAAGGGGCTCGGCTGCTGACCCGCAGGTGACGGGACGGAATCCAAGCTGCTGCCGCGGTATTTTTGACGGGTGCGAAAACGCTGTAGGTCCGTATGCTCAGATTTAGGTGCACGTGAAAGAACTCTAGATGGCCGAAATTTCCGGAGCCCTCCGCTACGGCATCTCTCGTAATCATATAGTTGCTTCAGGACGTTAAACCTCACGTGATAGACGTGATAGATTTGAAATTTCATAAATATATAGTCATGCTTAACTACATAAGCAATTTAGCAGAATACTCCAGAGACAATAAGCAAATGCGTAGCCGCACCGTTAGTTGGTATCATCCCACTCTAGTCAGTAAATACCACAGCATTGATTCCCTTTCGCACATGACTGTACTACCAGGGTGACGCAGGGCAATAGGACGCTGATACGCTCAAAGCTGAGGTGTCGCACAGTGGCGCTATGGTTACGTGCACTACACGTGCTTTTATATGGTATTGCGACTTCGTGGATGTGGCGATTGCAAGTATATCTAAGCAGGTACTACACTGACTAAAACATAGTAATCGACAGGTTATTATTAGTGTTGTTCAACACTTCACGGCATCGGCATGCTATAACGAAAAAGTTGTTGGGTTGTTTGTTCTCTATTAAACTTCTGCTACCCTCTGCAGGGTATCGGCCATAAAACTGGAGGTGCCTTGTGTTATAAATGAACTTTTTTTTTACAAAATAACAGGCAATATTGTAACCATTATGTTCTAATAGGTCACCGCGAAACACTAGAAGGTTTAGTTTAGGAGCGAAAAAATTTCAACTATTGCAACTTAAAAAAAAATATCTCCTGTTCAGACCTTCTTTAAAAACAGTTTGCTTCAGTCCACAGGCTTCAAAAATGCTGCTTCACTCTTAATCACACGCACTTTCATTAGAAAAAAGATTGTTTTCATCACGTTTTACTTGTGTTTCATATATCACGGTCAAAATTCAAGAATGATCCTCCGTACAAAATATTGTACCTGTGTTGCACCTGTGTTAGCTCGTTTTGACCCAGCCACTCAAACAGAGCTTCGCACCGACACAAGTGGCCATGGCATAGGGGCGATACTCGCACAAATGCAGAACGGCACAAACCGTGTCATAGCGTACGCTAGCCGCCCACTTTCTCAGTCGGAAAAGAACTATTCAATTACTGAGCGAGACCGTGCCTGGCTATCATTTGCTTTTCGCGAAATTTCGTCCGTACCTATATAGACGCACGTTCGCAGTCATCACAGACCACCATGCGCTCCTGCTGGCTGTCAACCCTTGAGGATCCTACCAGAAGATTCGGGCGATGGGCATTGCGATTGCAGGAGTACACGTTCTCTGTAGTGTACAAGTCTGGCGGGGCTTCACAGCGATGCCGACTGCTTATTTCGACACCCTGTTCATCCACCCAACTCCGAGTTGGCCTCATAATTTCTGCGTGGTAGGCTGGCATTTACTGTGCTACTTTTCGTCATTCTTCAGACAAGCCTGGCATCCGCCAAAATATTGGTATGAATTTTGTTCAAATTTTGGGTTGCATTCAGTGGCCGATGACGATGAAGAATTACGTCTGAAGCGGGTATATGCCACAGTTGATAGGTGATGAAGAACAATCTTTTGTAAAGTGTTAGAGCATTGAACGAAAAAAAAATCACCTAACACTCGGCCGATCCCCTGCAATGGGTAAGAGCCATGAGAAGAGGAGAAGAAAAGAACGACACACTCGGTAAACGAATTGTGTTGTTTCATTTAAATATCCTGCCACGCAGTTCTTGGCCCATCCCCCTCTGTGGGGGAGCGCCATTCATCTGAGGTTATCAGCATCAACATCATCATTCGTATTGTGTGGCACGTGCTTGTTCCTTTGGTGTTCAAAAACGCTTCATTACTCATACGGAACACGATTACTTTCCCGACATCAAGCCTGCCTAAGGCAAGATTGTGAAACACTCCCAAGCAACGGATGGTTCAGCAGTAGAACACTGAGCTGGCACGCGGAGGACCCGGGTTTGAATCTAAAAATGTCACCTGATGTATGTGTTTGTTGTTGAGTTTTTTTTTTATTTCGTGCGATAGTGGTTGAGAACATCGGCGGCGGCGGCGGACAACTACAGCACCGCGCGTGACCTGTGTTGTGGCCTCATAGCAGCTGTTGCTGTATATAAAAACCACCAATGACCTAACGAGAATTCTAACTTTGGTTCCCTGCGTGCCAGCCCAGTATTCTACCACTGAGCCACAGCGGTGCTTGAAATTTTTCCTGCAAGCTGACCGCAGGCAGGCTTCTTGTCAGGAAAGGAGTTTCAATAATGTGATAAACGAAGCAGTTTATAACCGCAAAGGAACAAAGAGGCGTCGTACAATGCGAATTGTGTAGCGAGTGGGTCATCGTATTCTCCAATCCACTACAAATGCGTAAGCCACAATTGTTCATCGCTGTGAGCCACAGCGTCCGAAATTCCACGAAGTTCATTGCACGTGAGTAGTGGGCACCATGCTTTTCCAAAGAATGGCAAAGAATGGCATGGCGATTGTTTTCCTACTACAAAAGAATCATGATGATATATGGCATAGTTGGTACCGGGCAAGTGTTCTTGTAGCAGTTACCCAAAGAATGAGTAAAAAGGGCTCTTGTAAGGTGGCTCTTCCAACTTTCTCTGCTACAAGGCTGCGCGTTCCTCGCAGGCCTGGCAGTTTTTATGGTCTCGTGTTTTTTTTTTTTTTTTTTGTAAGGTACCATATAATTTTAACTAACAGGCAACAAAGCCAAGAAAAGATTAAGGGACGTCATTTCTAGCAAATTTTGATTTAAATTGCAAAGAAAGTGAAGTGGATGAAAATATGAGTCGCTGCCGACAGGGCCTCAACCTGCGACCTTCGGTGTTACACCAGCCCAGCTACAGTGGGGTTCGCCACTCTATCCACTTTATGGGGTACATATGCGTACATTTTGCGCACATACTGCCACTTGGGCTGGTAAGTACTGTGCAACCAGCTACAGTTGTCAGCAAGCTTAATACGAAAGCTCCGCCTCGCATTCTGAAACACTTTGACGCTAGTGCCACGTAGCTTTGGGTTCTGTGGCTAAGATGTTACCCACGCATGACGACATACGATGTAAGCATACCGAGGTGTTATCCCGGCAACGGCTTGCAGCGCTTCGCGGCTGGCAACAGTCAAAGTAGTGCAAATCGTGAAACGCATCGTTCATGTTAATCTTGCTGACGACTGTATCTTCACAAGATACTGTCCTGTATGTACTTACAGCATTTCTCTTGCTTCTGGGGCAGTGCTTCTTTGTGGGTTGAAGAGGCCACATGGGAATAAGTACTGCCTAGGCGCCACTTACAAGCCGGGTGGGTGAGGAGGGTGTCCGAGTTGTTTCGGTGCCGTTTTGTTTGTGTAGGATTCAGCTTCGCAGTTGTTGCTGAGCGGCGTTTTCTTTCGGCTGGCTATCCGCAGCCGTGTTATCCGCAGAGTCGTTTTCCTTTCGTATGGGCATCAGTTTGCTCAATAAATAATATCCTTCGGTTTCTTTTACGCTTTTGGTGCCTACTTGAGTGGCTTCTGCCTCTCCATGCGTGACAATGTGTACCCCACAAATTGGACGACATGGCGTCCTCCGCCGTAGCTCCGTTGGTAGAGCATCGAAGGTCGCAGGTTTTTTTTTGTCAACCTTAGCTTCTTCGCAATTCACAAAACAATTACGTCAAATGAAAACATCTATACTTTGCTTGGCGTTCTTGTCGGTGAAAAATGCTGAGAATTATGAGCATATGCATGAAGCTTGGAGTACCACTGCTTTCCAAGCATTTGCAGTCGACTAGTGACGGGCATTGTTCAGAGGAATATAGGAATCTCAGCGAATACACCCAGTTTAGTCGGTTCTTTCTACTCCTTTTTCTTTAGGATATACAGAGAGCAAATTGAGTGCAGCAGAAACTTCACTCGAGAGTGTGCTGTAGGTGTGCCGAGGGCGGCCGCATTGTTGGGTCTGGAAGCTTTCCAGGACAACGTTGACGCTACCTGCACGGTTGGTACGAAGTCGTACGAAGGTGAGGAAGCTGTTTTAAATAATGATCACGGAAAATTTGCCGTCCCATAGGACAGCTTTCTTCAAGACGTTATAGTTAAGAACAATATATTTATTATTGGTGATATTCACCCAGAAACAGCACGGTGGAGTTCAGTTAGGCTGCCATAGCCATAGTTGTGCTCATGGGTTAGTGAGGGGCGGAGGAAGGGACAGAGGGGTGGCCGCACAAGGCTAGTCACCTTAGAAGAGGGTGCTACAATGTCTGCCCTATACATTGACCTGTTCAAAAAGAAGAAGGCAGCGCAATAAACATCCACGTTTTCTCCCCCTCCGGAAAGAGAACTTTCTACATGCCTAAGGTCATAACTTAGGCGTCATAGATGGCGGATACAACGTAAACATGCAGAACCTCTTTGTCTTTTGTCATACGCCTTTGTGGATACTTTTCCAAGCCATTAAGACTACGAGATGCGATATTAAGGGTGTTTTACCAATAAAATGCGCTAATATATTGTGGAGATTTTAGTTCACATATGCAAGAAATTGCTTCAAATTCTAATCATAACCGGTATCACATCTTGACTTGTGTATGGCATGTCTCTGTCAGAATACCAAAAAGCGATTGGCTGCATGAATTCTGTGGGAGCGAAGCTCAACGGCTGCTTTAGAGGACTCCACGACAACCTTGAAAAAGCTCTAGTCAAGGCGCCCACCAAGGACACCATCAACTACTCATGCTGGTGAGTGTGTCAAATATGCTGGAATGATGTTTTATTTGTGACGTGTGCCATTAATATTTCGCTCGATGACACGCCGTACAACTCATTTGAAAGGCATCACTGCAAACATGGAAGTTTAAAAGTTCTACAATCCATGGTTGTAACTTGGCTTTTAGAGTTAGCACGCAATGCTGGCTTACAGCGGAACAAAGTATTAACACTGAAATGCTGCCTGAACATACATCTCCGACACGAGGCATTCAACCTTGTCAGTTTTCCGACAACCCCTCTCCGTGAAATAAATTCGGCTTAATATTATCTAACTTATATAGCAACCTACTAGGACAGCTTGCTTGCGGCAAGTTGTCTTTTCATCCACTCTACTTTTACTTGCTTCACATTATATAGTAGGTGCCACAATACAACTCAAAATTGAACTATATGCATTCTATGTGGATTATGCGAAGCAAAAAGCGATCAGTGGCCTACAACATTTTTTTTACTCGTCTGAGGCAAGCGCTGCGAGTTATACCGGCTTTTTTTTAGCATTTCGAGTAGTTATGAGTATATCTTGGGTAGGCCCTAGTCAGGAAACTTTCTCGGGGTGAAAAGGGAGGGGGAGGTTAAGACAGTAGTAAACACACTAAGAAAATGTAAATAAAAAATACTCCCCGCTTGCCCTTCCTGAAGGTTCCCACAATTTGAGGCAGGCACCGTCACGACTCTGTTTGAGGCAGTAACTGGTTTAAGTGGGGGCAGGAGGTGACTTCCCGACGCCAGCCATCCACGTAACGGGATTGACCGTAGAGCGAACAGGCACGTTCCTTACGCTGACCTCCAAAAGGTGTCCTATGGTCTGACTGGACGCCGGTACTCATCTTAGAGCCCAGGTGTCAGTTTTATTGAAAGAAAATGCATGCTACGGTGCGATAATGTGCGCATCACAAGTACAGGTTTTTTTTTCATATTGATTCCGCGCTATATAACAGCAAAACATGGCTTCACGTATTGTTGCAGATAATATCTAGTGCATATTGCGCTGTAACAAACGCCGATAGCGAACCCTGCAGACACCGTTGTCGTTGCCGTGGTAATGCTGTTACAGAATATTTTAGAGTGCAGCCCTTGTTGCGGTTGTGAAGTTGGCGGATGTGCGGCACTCGAAGGCACTTCGTCCCAGAGATCTATAATACTCATCAATCCATCATCATTCATAGCTCTATCCCGGAACCGCTTTTATCCTGTTAGCATCCCGGTCTTTTTTCTCTCTTGCCAACCCTCTTTCAGTTCACTAAGAAATAGTTTTCATTTTACGCTACAGCCATTTTCCCCTTTACCTTCTTTTGCATCTTCATTCGTTCGCTTTCTTTGTCACACATTCTGTCACCCTGTATAAACTACGCGGCGAGGTAGTGGGGGGGGCGCGCTTGGTGGGTGCATAGTAACAGAAGCAACACCCGTGACGCCATGCGAACTGTGCAATGGAGCCATTCTTTACAGCCACCTACCGATATACCATAAAATACCCAGTGAATTCCGTCCTCCCTCTTTCAGAAGATTTGAAACACGGGCCAACGGCCGAGAAAGCTCCCGCTCTTGCCCTCCCGCCATTTCCTTGGCTGTGAATGCATGCGCATTCAATAAAGCACTTCAATGGAAGCACACCCGGCTTTCCATCAACTCATGTTGAATATAGATCCGAGACCAAGAAAGGTCTGCTTGCAAATCTGCTCGAATTACCTTTCACTAGAGGGGTTGGAAGGAAGCATTCGCTCGCTGGAACCTATACAGTAAAAGGCTAATCTGTGATTCATCATAATCATCAGCTGCAAAAGCTGGCTTTGTTGCAGCGTTCATAGAGTCTTTAACGGTGTTGCATACGTAACAGCAGCGCGTTTGTTATGACGCGCATTTGCTGAGCTGTGCTTGCGATATGCCAAACTCAGCGTTCTTACGCACGCCACACCATAACAGATATGCGCTACGTACGCTGTACTAAACCTGGTGGCTAAGGTAGTCAGGTACTCGCCATAAGGCCGTTCCACATGACACAAAAAGTAGCGATTTCCAGGCTGTGAATTCGCTCGCAGCGAAAAAAAAGGGCAGTTTGCTCCCGCCGCAGCGGTCCATGGCGATTGCAAATTTTCGCTCTGATCGCAGCCGTGGGAGCGATTTTTGGTCGGGACCCGTCAAAATGGGGCTCGTCCGGCCAAGCCATTGAAATAGGGTCGACGTGTTTGTTTTGGTAATGGCCGATGCTGTGCATTTTAAAATGAATTCAGACTGGAATTGTTCTTAAATGACGAAACAAGCAGGCCCTTCGTTACCATTCACGGTAACTTTATGATATCATACTGCACATATTATTACGTTACATTTGTGTCTGTCACAATGAGCAGTGGCAAGAACTCACCGCTCCAGTCGCAGAGTGAAAATCACGGACCGTTCGCGCCCCGCAGGGGCGCCTGCGCAAGTAGGCGTTTGGTGTGTAGCGACACCACGGACCCGAGCTAACGGGGGAGTTTCGACTCCCTCCCACGCCTAGCCGTGCGTGGCTTTGCCGTGTCCGGGGAAAAGGGGATCCTGGGGGTTGAGCCGATGCTGGGTGATTGGACCTTCAAGGCACCCCGGCAGGGGCAACACACCTCTTTGGCCCCGGCTTCACGTAGACGGCACCCCTGGGCTGACCCACCCAGGGGAAATCGGCAGTCGCCTTTTCCTATCTCTCTCTTCCTACATCTTAGTCTTTTCTCGTCTTTAAATCTGTCCTGTCTTCTTCTCTCTTCCATTTACTTCCGATTTTTCATGGCGGCAAGGGTTCACCTTGTGTAATTACTCCACCTTGAGTAATTATATTTGGTTATAGTGGCAATGTACGGCTGGCGTCTGTAGCCTTATGCTATTAAGTGCTTCAGCGTCCCCTGGTTGGACTCCGTGGTGGGTGGTCGCCATTGCTGCCGAACAAAAAGTACACTACTATGGGAACACCTGCATTTCCCCGTCTCCTAGATCGTCTCCCGCCTAAGAGGGGACGCACCGATGACATATCATTTTTCAGCAAACCCAGACAATGCTTTCCCAAATTCCATGTTGTGCACAGCGATAACCCAACAAAACAAGCCAGAGCAATATCTCCATTTCTTGTTGCAAAATCTCTGACAGAGGTCTTTGGCCCAGGAAACAAGGTTACAAAGATGGCTAGCGGAGACCTTCTCCTTGAGCTGCCTGAAAAACACCACTATGAAAAACTTGGCAGCCTCGTAGCATTCGGTAATATCCCAGTATCTATTTCACCGCATAGATCAATGAACACCTCACGCGGAGTTGTTTCAGAAGCAGACCTTCTTGAAATGTCTGAACAGGAACTGCTTGAAGGGTGGAAAGAGCAAAATGTCACAGATGTGAAACGAATCGTCATCAGACGAGACAACAAAGAAATACCTACCAAACATTTAATACTCACCTTCGCATCTAGCACACTGCCTTCATCTATAGACACAGGATACATCAAACTCTCTGTCCGTCCCTACATTCCCAATCCAAGACGGTGTTATAAATGTCAACGATTTGGTCATGGCTCGCAGAACTGCCGGGGTCAGGAAACTTGTGCAAGATGTGGTAGCCACGGCCACCCATCTGATAACTGTGTTACTACGCCTCACTGCGTGAATTGTGACGGAGAACACGCCGCGTATTCGCGTTCGTGTCCTAACTGGAAGAAAGAAAAAGAAATAATCACACTTAAAGTCAAAGAAACATCACATTCAAAGAAGCAAGACGAAGAGTGTCGCCATTTTACGGCGCAACATATGCTGATGCGGTGCGTCAGGGGGCAACGCCGCACCAGCCCTCGCCACCCCTTCGGCCTGCGCAGAGCGAGCCGTTGGCTGTGGCACCTGCCCCCAAGGCGGCTGTAGCCCAGGCTACACCGCCTACTCCCAAACAGAGACCGGAGACTCCAGAGTCTTCGGGTCTCAAGGCCTCCCTTCAGCAGGCGAGGCCCAAAATCCAAACTAACAGCCCGCACGTGCGGGCATCCAGTGCCTCCGAGGAGGCAATGGATACGTCGGCACCCTTGGTGCCAAAAGAGCGGCGTGGCTCCTTGGAGCGCGCCAAGAAAACAAAAAAGCAAATAACAGGGCCTGGCGACGGCCCTGTTAAGTGAACTCAAACTCCCCGTCTAAACAGCCACTCGCTTTTCGTACACACAGCATTATTTTACATTCACCATGAACACTCAAATTATACAATGGAACGTCAGGGGCCTTCTCAGAAACCTTGACGACATCCAAGAACTCCTACACGAACACTCACCAAAAGTGCTGTGTGTACAAGAAACACACCTTAATTCAAAACACACAAATTTTCTTCGTAAATACGTTATTTTCCGAAAGGACCGTGATGATGCCATGACATCATCCGGAGGTGTTGCCATCATAGTGAATCAAGGAATTGCATGCACACACTTACAACTCCAAACATCCCTTGAGGCAGTGGCTGTTCGAGCGGTTCTTTTTGATAAACTAATCACAATCTGCACTATTTACATCCCTCCTAGCTATCAGCTGCAAAAACGTGACTTACACTCTTTAATTGATGAACTTCCGGAGCCTTATGTTCTCCTTGGAGACTTCAATGCGCATAGCAGGCTATGGGGAGACTCTCGTTGCGATGCGCGAGGTCGACTGATTGAACAATTCCTTCTCTCATCGAACGCATGTCTCCTAAATAGAAAAGAACCAACCTATTATAATCTCGCACATAACACCTACTCCTCCATAGACCTAAGCATAGTGTCTCCATCTCTTGTGCCTCTACTCCAGTGGAAAGTCGTCAGTAATCTGTACAAAAGTGACCACTTTCCCGTAGTTTTGAGCACAACTACAACAACTGGGTGTACACCCCGTGTTCCCAAATGGCTCATAAACAGAGCCGACTGGGAACGGTTTCATACCATCGCTCGCATAGATTGGAGTGACATAGGTACTTTAAGCATTGATGTTGCTGTCGACTACTTCACAGCTTTTTTGATTGATGCTGCAACAAAATGCATCCCACAAACAAATCGGCACCCAGGAAAACGGCGTGTGCCATGGTGGAACTCTGAATGCCAAAACGCGCGCAAACAGCAAAACAGAGCTTGGAGGCTGCTTCGGAACTCACCGACAGCCGAAAATCTTGACACCTTCAAGAAAATAAAGTCTCAAGGCAGGAGAACGCGTCGGCAGGCCAGAAGAGAAAGCTGGCAGAAGTTTTTGTCAGGGATCAATTCATACACACAGGAGGCTAAAGTCTGGAACATGGTCGGTAGGATAGCAGGAAAACAAGTACACACACTTCCACTCGTGGACACTCGGGGTGATACCTTGGAAGATCAGGCAAACTTCCTCGGTGCACACTTCGAACAGGTGTCCAGCTCATCTCACTATACTGACACTTTCCAAAAATACAGAACAAGAATAGAAAGCAGAAACTTGAACACAAATGCACTAGATCCGAGGCATATAACCAAGCTTTCAGTCTAGCTGAGCTGCAAATGTCTCTAAACTCCTGCAGTACTTCTGCCCCAGGTTCTGACCGTGTGATGTATGAAATGTTAAAAAACCTACCAAACGAAACCCGTAAAACCTTCCTTTGTTTGTACTATGCTATTTGGTCTTCTGGCACTATTCCTACCTCCTGGAAAGAGGCTATTGTTATTCCCATTTTGAAAGAGGGCAAGGACCCTTCTTTACCCTCGAGTTATAGGCCTATAATACTTACAAGCTGCTTGTGCAAAGTCTTCGAAAAAATGATAAACTGCCGACTTGTACATTTCCTTGAAACAAATATTTGCTCGACCCATTTCAGTGCGGGTTTCGAGAAGGTAGATCCACCACAGACCACCTTGTTCGTATCGAGGCACAGATCAGAGACGCCTTCGTCCATAAACAATATTTTCTCTCTGTGTTCCTAGATATCGAAAAGGCGTATGATACAACATGGCGGTTCGGCATTCTAAGAGACCTGTCTCACCTTGGTGTGCGCGGAAGAATGTTTCATATAATCGAAAGTTACCTGTCAAAGCGGACATTCCGTGTCCGTCTGGGCAGTGTGCTTTCCCAAAGATTTGTCCAGGAAACAGGCGTGCCACAAGGTGGCGTGCTTAGTTGCACACTTTTTATTATCAAAATGAACTCTTTGCACTTGTCCATTCCCCGCAATATGTTCTATTGTACATATGTCGACGACGTTCAGCTTGGCTTCAAGTCATGCAACTTGGCCATGTCTGAGCGGCAGGTTCAGCTGGGTTTAAATAAGATCTCCAAATGGGCAGATGAAAACGGATTTCGACTTAACCCACAAAAAAGCACGTGTGTTTTGTTCTCTCGAAAGAGAGGCATGCACTCGGAACCTGACATTCGACTGAACGGGCAACGTCTGTCCGTCAAAGCCGAGCATAAATTCTTAGGCCTAACCTTGGACAGCAAGTTGACCTTCGTGCCGTACATCAAGTATCTAAAAACAAAATGTTTAAAAGCCATGAATGTTTTAAAAGTGTTGTCACGTACTACTTGGGGTAGTGATAGGCAATGCCTCATGAACCTCTATAGAAGCCTCATTCGCACCCGCTTAGATTATGGGGCCATTGTCTATCAGTCTGCTACTCAAAGTGCCTTGAAGATGCTGGACCCCGTGCACCATTTGGGCATCCGCCTTTCTACGGGTGCTTTTCGCACCAGCCCCGTAGAAAGCCTTTACGTTGAGTCAAATGAGTGGTCGCTTCATCTGCAAAGAACCTACATGTCCTTTGTTTATTTCCTTAAGGTGAAAGCAGACAAGAGGCACCCCTCATACTCTACTATAAATGACTTGTCGAGCTCCATTCTTTTTCAAAACAGGCCTTCAATGAGGCAGCCCTTCTCAGTTCGCCTAAAGGGTCTAGCTGAGGACACTGGAGTGTCACTCTAACACAATTTAATGGCTCCTGTAGCATACCCGCCACCGTGGCAGTGGCAGACTATAGATTGCGATGTGTCTTTTTTAGAAGTTACTAAACATGCGCCTATTGCCCATATTCGAACATACTTCTTGGAACTTCAACACAAATACACACGTCCTGAGTTTTTTACAGATGCCTCTAAGTCTAACTCCTCTGTGTCCTACGCTGCTGTTGGCCCTTCCTTTTCGGATGCTGGCCCTCTACATCCAGACACAAGTATCTTCACGGCGGAAGCTTACGCGATACTTGTGGCAGCTAAACACATCAAACAATTACAAATACAAAAAGCAGTAATTTATACAGACTCCCTTAGTGTGGTAACGGCTCTGCACAGTCTTAAAAAACAAAAAAACCCTGTCCTCATCTCACTTTACTCTATTTTATGCACACTTTACACACTCAACCAACATGTTGTAGTGTGCTGGGTGCCAGGGCATCGTGAGATTCAAGGCAACGTGATGGCGGATCAGCTTGCTGCATCCGTCCACGAGGGCACCACCACTACACCCATATTAATCCCGGCCCTTGATTTTAAGCCGTCTCTCAAACGAAACATCAGAGACTTCTGGCAGAGCAAGTGGAATACACACACACAAAACAAACTACACATTATTAAGCCACACCTTGGTCATTGGCTGCCAGTATCAAAATCGCGTTATACAGAGGTAATACTAACGAGACTCAGAATAGGACACACATACGCAACACACACACATCTTTTGTCTAGTGACGATCCACCATTGTGCGACAAATGTGGTGAAACATTAACAGTCCTTCACATACTAATCCAGTGTAAACATTTAGAAACTCTAAGAAAACAACATTTTCCATTACTCTACCGATAACATATACCTTCACACCCTGCAATGTTTGTCGGTAGGGAACCACACTTTTTAGTCATAAATCATTGTTAGCGTTTTTAAAAGAAATTCACAGCTTTCATGTCATATACCCGGGCATACCGTAGCATGACCTCTCCAGAGAGGTTTTGCTGCGGTGGCTACACAAGAAAGCACATGCCTCACGGCCCTTGGACGCAAGGGTTTGAACGAGTGAGGCACTTGTGCTAATGCCATACATATCCACCATCGTCTTTTATTATCACCAACTTTTGTCATCTGTTCACACCACACACACCTTCCACGGCATGGTCATGATTTTATTATTTGTATGTTTTTACCCGCCTTACTGCGACGAATTTTATGGCCCTTATACAGCCACTTATCACAATCATTGTCCATATTTTTAGTAAGATGAACTGGCGCTCTTTGGCCGTGAATCGGCCCTTGCGCCATAAAACATCAAACATCATCATCAACGGACCGTTCGCGGTCCACGTGAAACAGAACCACCATTAGCGACGGTTGCGAACAAAGCGATTGGAGCGAACGGAACGATTTTTTTCGCTGCAATCGCGGCATGTGAAGCAACCTATAGCCGGGATTGAATCCCGGCTATGGCGGCGGCATTTTTGATGGAGGCGGAAATGCTGTAAGCCCGTCTGCTCAGCTTTGGGTCCACTTTAATTAAAGAACCCCAGGTGGTAAAAAATTCCAGAGCCCTCAACTACGGCGTCTCTCATACTCTTATGGTGGTTTTGGCATGCTAAACGTCACATCTGAATTAATCGCTGTACTAAACCTTACTGTTTTTTTTATCTCGTCGCGAGACACAATTTACTACCAGACCGTGTTCGCTGTTTATTTCTACTTCATGTTTACTGTGTGATTGTTCACGTGCACTTAGAATGTGAGTCATCCAACTTTCGCTGTGACTGTGCTTTTTATACCACGCAAACCTCGAGTTTTACTATATAATCTCTTTACGAACTTTGCGCTGAGCTGTGTATTTTGCTTGGAGTGCTAAAGATGATTTGTTACTGAGGTGAAGTATTATGTCGTGAGCCGAATGGTTCTGGGGAAATTCGTGTATGAAAGTCGTCCATCTTTCTGTCGATTTGCTTCAGACTCAAATAAAGTTCTCGTTGAGTCGCTCGTCTAGACCTTTTAAGTAATCTGTTAAATGGCTCTTTCAATCGCCTTCAAAGACTGCAACGTTTCTGCGCGTCTACGCAGCTCGTATGCCGAGATGGTGGACTGCTTCGAGAGGGTGCTGACACCTTGCGAGGACGTTCGGCGGCAAGCAGCTCACGCTCACCCTCGTGGAGCAAGTGTTCGGAGAGACGCTCAGCCTGGTGTGTGGAAGCTACAAAAGGGGATCGGAAAGCTGCAGGAGCCTGCCCGAATTGCCAGCACTGGGCCCGAACGATCCCAAGTACGATGGCTTCGTCGAGCTTCGTCCTCGAGATTGCCAGCACATTCGGTCGCAAGGACTAGGAAATGCCTCCCAGTTCTATCGCACTCTAGCATTTTTGAATGTGATCCCAAGCGACAGAGATCACATTCCCGTGCTGAATGTAGACAGTAGTCGTTCCAACCAAATGGCCACTTAAACGCCCACTGTTACACATTATGATGCAGGTTCGTTGAATAGTTCGTAATCGCTCTCTAAGGCTGAGCCTCCGAGATCATGAACGACTAAAAAGCCGTGTGTTTAAACTATAGGGCTGAATAGAAAAATCAGAATTTTTCGCAAGCTTTTTCGTTTTTGGTGATGTTAATTGCAGGAATTTATATTCAATATTTGGCTGCATAAACGCTTCAGGCTGCGCAGTTTCTTTCAAAAAGTAGACGCAAAAGTGTTAGACCACCCATCACTTATACTCAACCAAAACTGAAAGTGCCACTTTTGTGTGCACCATAACATTAGCTTGATAGGTAGCATTTTGTTTGCTATTTAGTAGCTGTATCCAGTGCGAACATGTCATAATGTTCTAAAAGCGATGTAAATATATCATATTTATTTTTGAAACTTATAAACTTCTCACTAGGTGAACGCGTAAAGTGGTAAATGCGTTGTTCACGTCCGAGGGCGCCTATGTGAGCCTGTAAACCATCAAATTTCGCTTTGTTAGACAATCAGTCTGAATTCAATATTGGCAAGAAAAGTAGATTTGATATTATGAGGGAAATTGGTATCGTGCCTGGCCCCTAGATTCGAAAAGGCGTGTCTCACAAACAATCAACAACGAAGCGCGAAACAGCTCTGTCATGCCACTGATGCTGCAAAACAAGCTCGAAACAAATTACAATTACCGCTATAGAAAAGGCACACAGTAGTAATGTTCATGATGGAACTGGTTACAATGTGTGTTTTGTGTAATAGTGGCTGCACTTCCTACCAAGATAGATTCATACCAACTGGCCCAATACAATTGTTTATTGGTTACAATTATTCAAATGTTAGCCCTCTTTAGTGTCTTGCGTAAGCACTGCATCTGCTTCAAATCTTTTTTTTTGTTGTCTCGAAACATATTTCTACAATTTTGCGTATGTGAAGAACCGTATCCCTATTGCTAAATAGCATTTCTAGCTGTTTGACAGACTTCCTTATTACATTAGTAGCCGTGCAGTGAGACTCCAAGTGCAAAGTCGGGTGGCAAAACTTAATACGGCTGCCTTTTATACGAAGGTGGCCCAGGTGCTAGTGCATCATTTTCGTTTTGTTTAACTACTAGGTTTTCACTATTCATCACACCACATTTGTTTTACTTCATTGCAGAGACAATCTTTTTGTATGTGCCCACAAAAAATGAATATATTTTAACGGACCTTAACTTCAGTTAGGAGTGTTCTTGCAAGACATACTTTTGATGAAATTAATCATTAGGAAATATTAACGGAAAACAGGACGTGCTTTTTAAAGCTCAGTTGTATTTAAGAGGATGTGCCTTATATTGCAGACCAATATTTTCTATAGTTTATTACAACTTAAGAATAAAATACAAAATACAAATACAAGCACCGCCTCCAAAACTGTGGCTCACGATCCATTCATCTGTGTGAGAGAGTCGTCGTACGTGGTTTCCGTTCCAACCATAAGTACATTTTTTGATGCTAACACAAATACTACGTGCGACAGTAAATAAACGTTTGACGTTCTTACTTGCAACATTAAGTTTGACAGAGACCGATGTCAAAGTCTGTGCGGAAATTACGCCGGAAATGAACGTTTTCTCACCGAAAAGCAGCGGCACTACCATGTATCTTAATGGAAAAACGACTGATCAAAAATGCGATAATGCGTTCAGCGTCACACAATGAACAAATGTAATTTTTACGGCTCGGAACGTCCTTTCAGCTCTTCCATAGTAGAGTACTAAGTACTTTAAAGTCGTTAATCACTTTTTCTAAACACAAAGTCTCTCGGCGTGGAAGGAGGTTCGTTTGTAGGTCGAGCTTACATTTATTCTTCGGTTGTTAACGACTACAGTGATTATTGCTTTTAAAAACATTTTCCGTCACTTTGCCTCATACCTTAACAAATAACACAAAAATATCTTTAAACAATTAAAGTGAAGAAAATGCTAAGAGACGAAGTACCTAATAAACGTTCACTGCACTCGCTAAACACTCTTAACCACACATGAAACAGTAGTTAGTAGCCTTAAACTGAAATAAAAAAAGATCGAACGGAGAAAGGTGCAAGTTCAGTTTACAACAAATGTGGAGGCTTGTGTGAAGTAGAAGACCTGGGTCGGCTGGTTGCGGCAAAGAAAGGCTGGCTGCTGGGCGACGCTTCGACAGACCAGAGGAAACCTGTCCTGCCTAGGCAGCTCGAAGCACAGATCTGGCTCGTAGCCAGACTTGTGTTGCTCGCCGTTCCGCACCGAAGTCCGCAGGCCCTGTGCTTGAGTTTGCGACCGGATGGCTACGCTCTTCTCAACGGTAGGAGGCACCGGACGGTGGAAGTCATCGTGACTCGGGTGCGCAACCCAACAGCTCATTTTCAGCGTCCGGTCTGGTGACCACCTTCCGCTCGCCGCGTCTCTTCGAACTCCCCTGGTCTTCTACTGCTCAGGATATTCTTTGATTTTTCGTGCTGCCAGCGCATTGGCACCTGGCATGTGTGTGGCTAGTCAATGTGGGAAGTGGATGTCGCCACTTTGACGTCAATCCCTTGCGCTGCGCGCTCTCGTGCCTGACGTTGCTTTGGCGTTTTCACCATAGTCTTTTCGTCGGCCATCCTTCACGCCTGTTCTCGAACTTCTTATGTTGCACACTTCTGAAAGGCGCACTCTTAAAACGCCTGCGGCACTCATCACGCACATTTGACACATCTCTTTACACGTGGGAATGACCACAATAATGTCCCGCGAAAGTGAGGCTGATCTGAATAAAGCAGTGTTGGTTTATGTGCAAAGTCCACCACCTCGATTATTGCGCTGAGTACGGCAATCTCATGTGGACTATGACTTGAAAGATCTGTTTTGATGAAACTGAAAGTTAGTGTTGTGAATTCGACACGTAGCACTACCTCTTCGACACACTACCTTGAGTCCAAATTTCTAACGCTTCAACAAATGTGCAATCACCAAGACCAGTTTCACGTTTGCTTTTCACGGATGGCTCTACAATGAGTGAAAGTTTGACTGCGGCTTTTCATGTACCTGAATATAATGTAGAAAAATATTTCCGACTCTCTAGAACGACTTCGTCTACAGCAGCAGAGCTTGGTGGCTCTCTGACTAGCGGAACCGTCTTGTCATGAGAGCCATCAAGGCACTACTAAAGCTTCTCGGTGAGTCGGTATTGTGGACGTATCTGACAGTCCTACATCCCAGAATAATTTTAGGAGCCTTTTTTAACCGTTCTCTATCAGTTTCACTGACACTTCCTCTGCGTGTTCTTCATTTTTTTTTTTACCATTGTCACTCGAGGCCAGACAAACTGCGTGGCAGCAAAGTGGTTACGTATAATTGCCTGGCCTCAGTGGCCTTAGCATTTCTGTTAAACCATGCTGGTACACTCTCTATGCTAAGGCAAAAAGAAAAATTGTATCTAAATAGCAGGAATTCGTTTTGAAAGTGCCTTAACGCGCAAGGTACACGTCCCCCAGACGCAGATTATCCTAGCGCTGCAGAAGCCTCAGTCACCAACTGCCTGATGACGTACATTTGCATCGTACTTGAGCGAGGTTGGAAAAAGCATCAATAACAACAGGTGAGTCGTAACTCTTTTTTTACACCCGCTGCTTATCGCACATGGTAGAGAAAGTAAGAAAGCGATATCATGCTGACGTTCAGTTTGCAGCTGCCAGTAATTGAGCTAAGGTTTATTTATTTATTTATTTATTTATTTATTTATTTATTTATTTATTTATTCATTATTTAACAATACTGCCAATCTCATCAGAGATTATAGCAGGGAGGGCACATGAAAGCGAATATTTGTTTACACAAGGTCATGATGATAGAAAACACAAGAAAAAGCCGGGATTAGAAAATGACGTATAAATCATAGATTATACATTGCCGTTATAAGAACACACAATCAAACAATTTTAGTAATAGCAAAATCATGAACTAGGTCATCGTTAAAAACGACTACAAAAAGATAATCTATGCATTTGTAAAATGGGGTAGGGACAACAAGTAGGCATTTTTATTCGACAACTTATTATGCCCAGACGTGTGGAAAATTAATCAGCAGGTCACACACTAAAGGCGCGCTGACATTTGTCTTGCAAACCACGCTAACAAGTTTACAGGCTACCACTCATTTGTGGTGCATAAATCAATCTTTAGCAGTGGTCACTTCTATTAAGCAGTGGCGTAGCCAAGAGATGATTGAGGAGTTCAAATCCCCACCTAGAAGTTTGTGAATTTTCCTTGCGTATGTTTATACACGCGTAAAAACGCACGCATGAACATACATACAGGTATGGTTGAACCACTCCACCTCTCCGGAAAAAAATTCTGGTTACACTCCTACTTCTTGGGGCATATAGACTGCGTTGGTAATCAAAGACCTATCTAACAACATTATTCGAAGCATCAAAACAAGCTGTTTCTATACAATGTCGTGTCTGTATAACATACCAAACTTCGACCATTGTGCGTCGTCATACAATTTCTACAAAAACTTGAGCACACATGTTCATCTGGCATGTACATAGGTATTGGAGAAAGTATAAGTGCGACTCAACCTTCGATTCACTTGCGTACGTAAGTCGGTATTGGGAGGTGGGCCTTACCAGTTATCTTTCGTGGGTACCCCGACCCTAACCATGCTGGATTGACAAGTTACACTTCTTAAATGGGGACTCCGGTGCATTATTGACTATGTTGAGATAATGCCGTTTTCAAGTAGTATTATGAAACCTGCAACAACTCGGATGTTTGTTTTGCGAAAAACGTAAGTATTGTTAAATGAGCAATGAACGATGAGTTACAACAAACCGAAAAGGAGAGCTTCTGTGTCCTTCAAGCAGGGTATCGAATGACATCATGCAATCTGTATCCTGTACGTGATGAAATCTGTACATACCGCCAAAGCTTGCCAGGGTGTAAACATAGCCCTTGTGCTTCTTCTACGTGCGAAAAGCAAGCTGTCGATGGCAACCGACTTAAAATCAAGGTGTACCAGTTCATCTGAACTTACTCAGTGACGAGCTTAACGATGAGCGCAGCTACTATCTGAGCGCGGAAACATCGCCCTTTGATTTCAACCTTCCGGAGCGTGAAGCATCTGGCGGGCCCCGAATCGATCTCTTCGATGCTCATTATTTTAGTCAAGACCCGGAGTCAACGACGACTAACGCTGTGTGCAGCTGACAAAACCTGACTGTGCTCACGTCGTTATCGCCTCGTAAAAAAAAGCACGTGCTGCATCCATCTGCTGGGCAAGCTGGGGTTTCGAAAAAGAGGAGTCACTGACGTTCCATACACAGAATGGCTCAAGTTTACAAGTGTAATTCCAGAATTGGCTACTAATTTTTAAATGTGGTTGTCTAAAAAAACTGAATAACTTACGGTTGATATATTTGGCACATCACCACGAAACCTAACGGAACGGAAAATCAATGGTGTTCTCCTTTAAATGAAATGCAGTGCAGTACGAATATCGCATTGAATCTTCATATTCGAGTATTTTAGCAATACTTGAGAATTCTTCTGATTTTGAGATATATTCTGATGTCAACACTGCTGACAATCATCGTCTGATCACGGAGCACAGTAACAATAATGCTCATAGTTTCGGAATAAAAAGTTTACACAGTTCAAGTTTTTGGATGAGGTATGTTCCTAAAATGACGGGTACTTTATTCCACTTACAAGCAGTTCCATCAAACATTAAAAATGCATCGTTGGGAATGAGTCTGGTGGCATTATGTTTGTGGTAGCAGACGTTGCCTCGGACTGCAAGCTTCGTAACACTGGTCGAGGCCGGCGAAGTTATTTGCATTGCCGCCACAGCCACCGTAGACGAAACCTTGACACGTTCTGAAGGTGGCGTCGTAGAAAAAGCGATAGAGATAGCCGGCGCACATGCCTCGATCGGGTGGTAGCAGGCAAGCCGGGTTAGTGAGCACTGGGAACAGAGAAAAAAGCACGAGCGTGCATTGTCAGAGTCGTCGTCGACCATGAATATTCACGGCGAAATTATTTCACGTTTCAGCTTGCTTATTCATCTGATGCGATATTTTCATAAAATGTATTGTGTATAAGATGTATTGCGATAGCAAGTGGACATCCGCATAATGCGCAAAACATCATCAACCTGTCTGAAAGTGTGTCAAATTAGCACTGGAAAAATCTGCGATAGTCGATATTACATTCTAGAAATTGAAATGCAATAGCATGTCTTGCGCTGAGCAATTCTTCAACGCTATGGCGAGAACAGAAATAATGCCATTCACACTCTTTTCTTTCTCTTTTTAATTATGTCGGCACATCACGTGGCCCATCGCCTTTTACAATTCGCGTCAGAATATAAGAGAATATTTGATATTGTGTTCAGATAATTTGGTTTGTTTAGGCGTGCATAGCGAACAGTTGAGTTGATTCTACAGCAAGCGTGGTCAATAGCTATAATGCTCCAATCATTGAGCAGTGAGCTATGCTCAAGTTTACGCAAAAGTAATTAAATCCTATGCTCAAAACGCACGCTTACTTTGCTTTTGGCTGAAAACTAAATATTAATAATTGGGTCTCAGGACATTCCAAAAGGCGGCACGTTCTCCGAGTTGTCGAACATTGTAATGTATTCACAAAAGGGACCTGTTGCCAACATATGCAGCGCATTGAGCAAAGGAAGAACAGAGTGATTATGCACACGTTTATAATTGGCATATGAGCAATCTATTTTGCATATTATGGTCCTCTAGTTCATATCAATAAAACCATATATGTCAAAAACAATTTTCTTCCACACATATCGACGCTGCGTTTCGTTCTTCGGCTTCTGCCTTAATTTGAAGTCATCGGCGAAGATCTTTCACTGTTTTCTATGTCAAGCCTCTCGTGCATTTTTGCTATTTGGTATGACGTGTAATGTTGAATGGTAATGTTACCAAACCATTTAGAGTTATATAGAATATAATGTGCAATGTTGTAGCGTTGACACTTGACATTTGTGTTACCCAGTGTTCGCTAATGACGCCATTAGTAGATGCAATACTTTTACTTAGCGTAGTCTCGCTTCATTCATTGTATCTAGGCCTTAGCAAAGGTTAACTGCGCCGTAACATAAGTGACTTGGGTCTGACAGGAAAGAACATGAACAAAAGTATAGCAATTGTTAACGGAAGTATACTGCCTGCATACTGCTGTTTGTTCTTGAGGTTAGCGCGATTGTGAAAAGAGTTGCCAGCATCTTGATTTTTCAAAAATTGAATGGTGACCCTCTTAATCCTGGGAAAAGGTCATGAATAATTATTTCTATAAAATACGACATGAATTGCTAAGAAATTCGAAAAGGCATCTGGAGTATCGCAACTGCAATTGTGCAAACAAAGGTAGTTATTTGTTTGTCGTTGTCTTTGGCAGAACATTGCAAAGCTGAAAGCTCATTGGTGGAAGTTGAAATAGACGACTAGTACCACAGCCAAATATTTCATGACATTTCACGGATTACCACGTCTCTCGGTAGCCACCTTGATGTTTTATGTTGCTTCTAAGGTGTTGAACGGCTCATTTACGAAGCGCCTTTTTCATAACGTTCGGACTGACAACCACGCCAGTATAACAGATCTTCATGTTCAAAATATAAGAGCATTAGGTCTTTGTGGTTCTCAGATATCTAAATGCATTGCATGCTGATTCAAAGCCGTAGCGTTTGTGCCAGCTTCAAATACAGGGTACTCTCTTCAGGAAATCATCCTGGATTTTTCTAGATTAAAGGGCAACTGCAATAGCGAGATTGTACTATAAATCTGAATACGTTTACTGCTTATATAAATGGTGCAGAGAGGCAGCTAGAAAACAGTAAAAGTGAAGCTCACTTCTATCAGTTTCTTTTCAGGCATAAACGAATGATGAATAATTGGCAAAAAAGGTTTGTCGCAATGAACAATGATTATACAACATATTGCATATAAATATGACATGGCATTCTTTAATTAGGCGGAAGCCAATGAAGTTCAATCAAGAGCGATGTATCATGAGTGCACAAAATCGCTTTCATGCATTTCATACGCTCTAACTAACATGCGAATGCGAACATAATATTTTTACATCAATATCATGCGTGAACGGATTAAAAAATGACAGTGTCAAAATTCAGCATATTTCATTACACAATAAAAATTTCCCGGTTTTATTTACGCTGATTTGACCCTTGAGTATATTTTATGTAAACTTGGTGTAGCATAAAAAGCAAAAACAACAGAAAAACTATCTGCCTTCTAAAAAAATTTAGGCCTCAAATGAGAAAAGACGACAAATGAAGCTACGAAGTTATGTCTTTGTCACAATATAGTGCTGCAGCAATACCGATCATTAACAAATGAACCGGCACCTACTGACAATAAAATGTAAGTAACAGTGCTTGACTACGTACCAGACCACATAAGGTTGGGCACTTCAGGAACGGGTAAAAGATCGTTGCTGTACTCGCGTATCTCTTGCGGTCCTCCGCCATTTCCTGAAGCTGGAAATGGAACAAGTGATTGGCTTTTAGAAGAGCGCGATTTATTTTGTCTACGCTGTTAGAACTGGCAGTTAACTTTTACGTACATTCAATAAACGTGGTGAGCTTGCACACACACAGTTAAGGGTCTTTGTGGCTGTGTGCCTCTCATGACGTTAGTTTGGATATTTCATTTCACTTATATCAGAAAAAATCTGTAGTCCTGAAAACTTGCGTAAAGCAGTGTGCTTCGGGAGACCAAGAAACGGGGGCAATGTGGCGTGTGCAGTAATTTGTGCATTTCTTTTCCAGACTTCTATTCTAAAGACAAACGTAATACTGAGTTCGCTGAAATGTTTCCTACGAACTTTATTGCCCGAAAGTTAGACTGCCTTTAGTATTCTAGAAATATGGGCGGTATTTGCAGGTTGTGTGGTTCTAATGGCTATACTCCTGATGCGTTTACTATTCTTGTATTATTCATTTTATATAATGATTTACACTTTCAGCAACGCCGTAATTTCATTAGTGCAAAGGGTGCACACACTAAGTGGGCAATATTCAGTTATACATCTAAGATTGAAACAACAAAAAGGAAACGCAAAGTGTAACTGTAATTATGAATAAGAATAATAGCGTACAACAACGTCACATGGATATTGGCAAACAGATGGAAATGTTGCACTATATCTGTTACTAGTCCCAACGATGATAAAAACGAAACAGTCTTCATGACTAAGTTTACTATTTCTTCGGGGAACTTATTACATATTGTAATTGTTTTGAAATGGAAGTTGTTAGATCTAATATTGTTTCTAGATGAGCATTTTTGTATATTATGAATGCGTTTAAGTTAGAATGGTAGTTTGCTACCAGTAGGCATTCCGCTTCATTGATAACTGATACAATATGCTGTGTAAAAAATTTCTTTTCAGCCGTCTCTATTGTACCACCACCCAACTTAAAGTAGCCATTGTTTCTGAGATACCGAAGAAGAAGTCGCAGTCATCGCTTTCAAATTGGTTTGTCGAGTTATGAACTTTTTTTTCTGCTGTAGCAAGGCTCTTTTGAGCCTGGTCTCAAATAACGCAAACACAGCCAAGGAAAGCTCCTACATACAGGAAGTCAAGATAAATTTCTGTAATGTTCTGGCAGGTTTACAATTGGTTAGGCTTTACATCGAAAAACAACGATATTAATGTGAGATGCCGCAGTGGAGAGCTTAGAAAACTTTGGCCAATGTTCATTCGGAAGATAATACAGCCAAATCATAATTGGAAATTAAAGTAGTTTCATCAGCAATTATAAATTGTTGAATGAGTTTTCGTAGTCTTACTGTCATTTCAGGGACGTTTAGTGACCTACTGCAATAATGCTTCGCAAGATATGCGCAATTGTTAAATACACGGACAATCCTCGGCAGTAGCCGTGAAGTACAAGCATTGTGTATTTTTTGCAAATAACAAAAAAACTATACCATCAGAGAGAAACGCAGGTCAATTCGCACTGTCTCCTCGTGTAGTGTTTATTCTCGTTCCCGTCACAGCCTCCGAAGTAGAATCGCTGACATCGGCCTTTTGTGACGTTGAAAGCCCACAGTGGAATGCGTCCACTGCAGGGCCCACGATCAGCTGCTGGCTTGCACTTGGTTTCAAAATTACCGAGTGCTGCAACTGAGAACGCAGAGCAGTGAATACGTGAGGCCAGAACGTCGGAAACACAACTTTACAAAAAAAAGGGGGGGCTGCCGCGTGCGGGAGCTCGATCACATTGAAACCACTGCTCCCGGGATCAAAGTCCATGACCTTTGGGTCAGCAGCCACGCATCGTAACCACTGAGACATGGTCACTCTACAAAAGTGTATTGGCCTTGAGCTGCATGACAGATAAAACTGAAAGACTTAATGATTCATCGCATAAGTGGACGCGGATTCGGCTTCGATCACTGTGCCGCGTTAATGACTGGCAACAGAGCACGCCTGAACGGCCAACGCACCATTGTTTAGTGTATGATAGGATAGAAATAGGTTATAAAATTTCCTCTACAACCTCTGGCTGTTTTTAGAAGTTTCAAGTTATTCTACGTGCAGTGTACATTAACGTGAATATCGGAGACATATAAATTGTGTGCTGGTCATGTCAAAAATGTCTCTTACTGTAATTACTGTAATCGCAATAGATTCAAGTTTTTTTCTTTATCTCACATGGATTAAGTTTTGCACCTAGTCATTGCACTACCATGTATTACTTCGCAAGAAGCGAAAAAAACACAGACAATAATATTCGCAGGAAGATGATATTTTGTTTTTCTATTAGCGGTATTAATTCAGTGGGGGTCTTTAGTTCATTCGTTTCTGTGGCTGTTGTGTGTGTTTAATTTTTATTTATTTTATCATTCTACCCACAGCGCTTAAAGGCATTACGTACAGTGGGGGAGGGGGGAAGATAATACAAAATTTCAACACTGAATAAAGATACTTACACTTCTACATCACAATAATAACGCAATTCATTGTCCACTATACATAGCAGCACGTGGGAGTAGACAATACAAAGCAGCTTCACAGAACCGTTTCGTCCCTACAAATCCTCACGAATACACTACTCTAGACCCTGAAGTAATCTTGAAAATACTTTATGTGATGTAACCTCTGCTACTTCAGAAGGCAACCTATTCCACCATGCTATCGTCCTGGGAAAAAATTACATTTTAAATGCGTCAGTGTGGCATCTTATTTCTCTTAACCTATTGGATCTAGTCGCTGTGAAACGTAGTCCGGTTTGCAAAAGTATGGTGAGGGGTCCAGACGTGCACGCCTAAGAAATATGTTGTGAAAAAGTTTCAACCTCAGATATTCCCTTCGCTTGTCTAGAAGTTCCCAACCAAGCTTTTCTTTTGCTTTTGAAACACTCAAATTTCTGGTAAAATTAGAGCAGACAAGCCGAACAGCCATGTTTTGAATTTTTGCTAAATTGGACACATCGCATGCCTTCCGTGGTTACCACACAGCACAAGCGTAATCTAAGACAGATCGGATGTCAGTCATATAAAGTTGATTCTTGGCCTCAAGTGGTAACTTACTTGCGTTTCTGCGCAGAAAACCCAACACACGTCCTGCTTTACTTGTAACGTGACTGATGTTAACAGTTGGTTAGGCTTAATGATAGAGAAACTACGTAATGATAGAGAAAATAGAGGAGGAGGAGTTGCATTCATAATAAAGGAAAATATTGAATTCGTAACCAGGAATGGTATCCCTAATCACGAGAGTGCTGCTTGGTGCCAAGTAAAATTAGGAACCAATTTAGTCGTAATAGGAGCAATTTATAGATCCCCTAACGCATCGATTGAATACTAAGAGGCGATTCAGCGCTATGTAGAACAACAGAAGACTCGAAACCAGCGGTTAATATTTGCCGGTGATTTTAACTTCCCTGGGGTTGATTGGAATTCACTTACCATAGAGTCACGGGAACGAGCTGACTGTGAAGTGCTGCTTGACATTGCTTTCGCTAACGATTTAACGCAGTTGGTACAGGAAGGCACTCGCAAAACGGGAACAGCGCAGTCTATATTGGATCTAGTATTTCTTGATGGACGGTTTGAAGATTATCAGGTAGCAGTAGAAATGCATAACGGACCATCAACTAGTATTTGTACAAATTAAAGCCGACGTTCCTGCATCAAATGTTAAAGAATGTATTGCGCATGTCCCCAATTTTGATAAAGCTGATGACACGAGCATCATTGACTACTTATCGTTTCATCTAGACAGTCTGCGCCCTGATGATGACGTCAATTTTTGTGGACAAGATTCGAAACCATTATCTTTCACTGTGTAAATTCATTCGTACCATTAAGAAAAAAGAGAAATAATAGGCGTAATCCCTGGATAACGCGAGAGATAGTTCGTCTGAAGCGAAAAATAGGACGGCAAAGGAAAGTCAAAAATCGTGAAAAGATATCAAACTTATCTTCACAGTTGCGTACAACGCTGAGGCAAGAAAAAAATTGCCCGCAGCTTCCCTCGGGGGAACACTGAGGAGGATGCGGAGCATATAATTGGTTAACGGGGTGTTAAAGTGCGACTTACTTGGGTCGATGGCTAAATTGGTTAACGTGGTTGTGAAATGGGGTGTTAAATTGCGACTTACTTGGGTCGATGGCTAAATTGGTCAACGTGGTTGTAGGAGGGGGTGTTAAATGAGTGAACACGTACACACGTATGCGAAAGGGCGGCGCTGGTCGAAGGGACGTCGATCATTGTGTTTGTGGATTCGTTGGAATTCATTTCACCGCGACCTTGGACGTCGACGCGCCGTACAAACCAACCGACGAGCGGCAACTGAGCGAGCGAGTGCCGACCTTGAGTATATATACAGCTCGACGGCGCATGCACTGTCAGCTGTTGAATGTTCTCGAAGCGCGACGCCACATGCGCGTCCACTGGAGAATCAGGAGAATTGTAGATGTCGAACGCGGTGTGTAGAGGAGGAAGGGTGCACAGATGGTGGAGGAGTGAAGCACGCGCGGTGTGTAGAGGAGGAAGGGATGCACAGATGGTGGAAGAGTGGGCGACGGCGCGACGGCGCATGCGCGCGCGTCAGCTGTCGAATGTTCGAGAAGCGGTGCGGACGGCGCGGACGGCGCACTACAAGGCGCGAGTATAAGATGCTTCCGCATCTAAAACAGAAATATTACGAGGAAACAATTACAAACTTCATGGTGTCTTCCCCGCAAAAGTTTTGGCGTCATTTGTCACAAACCCCTCAAAGCCAATACAGCATTGTTGTTGACGACGAAATGATAACCGACTGTTCGAAAATTGCATCTTACCATAATAAGTTCTTCCAGTCTGTCTTTTCAAATGATTCCGAATGTAGTGCTTCAACTACAGCAACATCATTCTCCCATATGTCTGACATGCCAGAAGTACGCATTAGCTATGAAGGAATACTATCGCTCCTGCTAAACATTAAAGAACACAAATCTGTTGGTCCGGATGGAGTTCCAAATTCTTTCTTGCGTAGATACGCTGAATGGGTTGCCCGATACTTGGAAATAATCTTTAATGCCTCCTTGCAACAAAAATGGGTCCCAGACGACTGGCTTGTAGCAAAAGTGGTCCCGGTACACAAAACCGGAGACAAGCAGAATATCGAAAATTACCGGCCAATCTCCTTAACCTGCGTCTGCTGCAAACTCCTCGAACATGTTATATCCAAAGCTATATATCAGTACCTAGAAAATACAAAACTACTACATCCTAACCAACACGGCTTCTGACAAAAGCTATCAACCGTAACGCAGCTTCTTGAGACGATCGAAGACTTTTCAAAAGCAATAGATAACGAAAGACAGGTTGATGCAATATGCCTTGATTTCACAAAAGCCTTCGATAGGGTTTCTCATAACTAATTAATTAAGAAATTGAAGCAGATTGGCATAACTAACAATGTAGTAGAATGGGTCAGGTCATATCTGACATGTAGGACGCAGTATGTGGACATAAACGGCTACAAGTCTGGTCGTTTACACGTAACATCTGGAGTCCTTCAAGGGTCCGCACTCGGACCGGTGTTATTTCTCGTTTATATTAACGATATTTGTTCCGACATTATTCAAAATATTACTGTTAGACTGTTCGCCGATGATTGTTTACTTTATCGAGAAATATGCAGCCATAATGATCAAAAAATACTCAGCGATGCCTTGGCATCTATCGAGAAATGGTGCAAAACATGGAAAATGCAAATAAATTTGCATTTAAATATTGCAATAATAAATAAACAATTTGCGAGTTACAAACAAAGTAAAGCACGTCAAAAATTTCGAGTATCAACTAAGTTCCACTGCGTTAGCTACCGTTAACAGATGTAAATACTTAGGAGTAACAATATCTGAAGACCTGAACTGGACCCAACATATCAGTAATATTTGCTCTACTGCTGAAAAGAAGTTATGGTTCTTACGTCGCAAATTAAAACTGGCTCCAGTCCCCGTAAAGTTAACAGCGTACTTAACAATAGTAAGGCCTACACTGGAATATGCAAGCATCATATGGGACCCTTATCAAAAAGGATTAATTAAAAACATCGAGCGGGTACAAAGATGGGCGGCTAGATTTATTCTTTCAAAATATTCTCGTAAAGATTCTGTAACACAGATGCTGCAAGAATTAAATTTACAGCCCCTCGTGGACCGCCGTCGCATAGCCAGACCTAAATTCTTGTTTCTGCTTTCCCAAAATACATTTAACTTTGATGCAGAGCAGTACCTAATTCCCCGTCAAGTGCGGAGCCTGCGAAGTGACCACCCCAGAAAATATCTAGTTCCTCAATGTCGTGTGAACACATATGCATACTCTTTTTTCCCTAGAACAATAAAAGACTGGAATGTATTACCCGATGCTATACGTGATTCTCAAACTGCAGAACATTTTGAAAACAATGTTACGAAATATTTTCTAAGTGAATCTTCGTAAACGGTGATTGCAGTTTTTGGTGTGTGTGCCTGTCATCTTTTGACTATGAATCTATTTGCTGTAACTTGTCTCATGTACGTTGTAGGATGTAATATCGGGAAGTGTATTTTGTGATGTATGTGATGTAGCATGTAAGTCGTAGAACGCAGTATAGTGATGTATTCCTTTTGTATCGGCTATGCATTTTTTTACGCATGACATGACGGTTGTTATATAAGTTTTCTACCCCACCTCTGTAACGGCCCAATCGGCCAACAGTACCTGGAAATAAATAAATAAATAAATAAATAAATAAATAAATAAATAAATAACATGTGACGGCTCCAGAAAAAGTCCGGTGTAAAATATACACCGAGTACTTGTGTTCACGAACTGTAAGCAGCCTGGTTGAATTTACAGTGTAAAATGAGTCATGTTGTGCCTTCGTTCTAGTGAAACACATATGCACTGCTTTTTCTTTGCATTAATGAACATACGGCACTTTCCACACCATTCAAAAACTGTGTCAAGGTCGTTTTGAAGAGTAGTGCAATCATGAGAGATATGTATAAGTATGTACAAAACACAGTCATCGGCAAATAACTTGATATGTGATGAAATACCGGAACAAATATCATCTATGTAAATGAGGAACAATAGCAGGCCCAAGACTGACTTTTGAGGCACTCCAGAGGACACAACTTTCCGGGATGGCTTACCATTGTAAACAACCTTTTGCCTCCTCAGATTTGAATACTCGCTCATCCAGATCACAACCATATCGTCCACTTTTACATTTTGAGTTTTTCAATCAATAAAAAGCGGGGTACGACGTCAACTACTTTTTTTTAAATCTAGGAACAAGCAGTCAACAGAGAAACCCTTATCTAAAGCAGAGGATAAATCATATTTAATTTGAAGTAACTGTGTTGCGCAGGAAAAACAACTATAAAAGCCATGCTGCTGAGGAATAAGTAAAAAATATGTGTTCATATGAGTCATTATATTGGTAGACAGAACATGTTCAAGTATTTTGCATGCAACACTTGTGAGTAAAATAACCCTATAATTGTTTCTACTGTGTCTATTTCACCATATTTTTTTCCATTGAAATGGAGATCACACAAAGCAGTCGACCCTGTTGACTCATGTTGTTAAACCTTTACTTTGTTCAGGTACGTGAGCAATAATAGGGCAATTGGAGTAGGTTACTTAGCAGTAAATTGAACAAAGATATACGCGACTACTATATATGCAGGCACAGGTTATGAATGTAGCATAGAAGATAATTTCACATAACTTAAAGAATGCTGAGATGACGCAGCCACATTATATGTAAATTAGAAAGCTTTTTTATTAAAACTACTGTCACAAAACATAGCCTTCTGTATATGGGCATTTTCTTTGTATATCAACTAACAAACAACTAAAATTTCCTTATTAGGTCTGAAAATTACGTCTCACGCCAGCATATATTGCAATCTACAAAACCGTTAAGACGAAACACCACTGTGACATTTCTAGAAGTGCCATATCATATCCCGCGCTAGAAGTACACAAAGAAGTAGACAAAATGAACCTTTGCTGGAAAGATTTATGCTGGTGTCCTGAAACATAGCAAAACTGGCTTAAAATTCAAGCCCATATCAAGTGGTTTCCTTATTGAAATAAAGGAGACAAAAAAGGAGCAACGTGTTAATTTGTTTTAAGGTTCTGTTTACTGCCACTCTTTCACAGAGTATAGAATTGTCTTCACTCTGAGACGCGTGTTATTTATAAAAAATAAAAATATCTGAGGCTACAGCCAAGCTCGTAGGGTTACAACGCAGTGACAACGAAAGCTCCAGAAGGAAGCCCGGCAAACTACATGCGAAATAATCACTCCGTTTACTCACCAGCCGTAGCAAACACGAGGGTCAAGAAGACTGCCAACTTCATAGCCTGTCAGCGTACCGTGCGTGCACGCTCGCAAGCTGTCTCGACCGAGACAATGATATTTCCGCGAAGAGCTAGTCGAGAGACCGATAACCCGACCGAGGCCCACTTATAAGAAGTCTAGAGTGAACTTGAAGACGACGCCGGGCCCCTTTGACCTCGGACGTTTTGCTGACAACAAAAGACGAAGTCTTATCGCATTCTGACGTCATTTATGTTCCGAGTAGGACGTGTACCTGCACCGTGATCGTCTTCCTGATTCGGGAGAAGTTACCGATGTACATTTTAGTTGCGGCGTAAAAAGAAAGAGTACGCATAATACATAGCCATGAAGTTGAGTCTTAATATGGAGGTCGCGTTGATATAGGCCTTATTCATAGCTCGGTGTAACATATATATATAGTACACAAGGTAAGTTTTGCCACATTTTAAATTAGAAATAAGCTTACGTGTTCGAATGCGCGGTCTTTATTGGTAGGAGGGTAAGGACATACGTATTTCGATATCCAAACAAATTTGTGCATAGCCAATTTCGGGGTAACATGAAAACAATATATCTAATATCTTATAAGAAAACATAGGGTCGGCCTAAATTAACTGGGGTGAACTAAAAACATGGCCTGCTGCTCTTGCATCAATTTCTTTTATTGGATTCCAGTGAAGCGACATGACTGATATTTATACCACAATCTTTCAAAGGCGTCAAAAATAGTGGCTTTACCAAGCTGATTTCTCTCTTTTTTAGGCAGAAATAACTGGCGCAACAAAGGCATTACGGGATAAGATATTTTATCTTTAGAGCCACATATGTTTGCGCATAAGAAAGCCACATAAATTCGCGTCACTAAATGTAAAAAAAGAATGCAGCATTCTCGGGGTGGCATCCTGTCTATGTATATAAATCAAAGTAAACTAAACATACTCGTAAATTGTTGAAGTGAAGCCTTAGAAGGCCAAAGTTAACCCTAGAACCCCTTGTAATGGATATAATGCTTTATAGAAACAGACGAGATTGATAATTGTTAAAGCCGCTACGCAGTTGAATTTGGAAGCACCCAACAAAAGTGGAAACATGTATTTAAGGGGCGCTGCAATACGTTTTCTAGTAACCATAAAACGACTTCAGTAATTATTTATTTTTTCGCGAATCGACTTAGGCTGGAATATTTTGAATCCGTCTAGTCGGAGCAGTGTGAGGGGGGTTTTTCGGGTGCTTTTAAAGTTTTCTTTGCCTTTTCATACATATGAAGACGGTGAAAGCAATGCAGAGAGGTGGAGGGGGTGACAGGGGAGAAAGGATATACGTCCGTTTGTCAGCTTGCGTCAAAACCCCGAGCCTGTTTTTTTTTTTCCACGCGCAGCATACTTCCAGTATATCACGAGCATGCTCAAAAACGAGGATTATGGAAAGATGTAATTGCCATGTAATCTTCCGGCAATTCTCGGTGGAGCCTGTAGCCCAGGCCCTCACTTGGACTGGCAGCCCATAGAGCTTCGTCTATAGGAAGGTCAACTGGATCTCCTGTTGCCTGTGTACGAGCTGTGCTCCCACTGCACAACTAAGACTACAGACCTAAGGTGAAGTTTCATACGGTGTAATTTAAGCCCTATTGATGAATAAGTTGAGCCAAGACGCCACCTAGGAATATAGAGTGAAACACGATATCAAAGTTTATGTAGCAAACAATACTCGCTTCTTACGTGTGGTAGTGGTTCTGACACATGCATTCATCGCCAGTGAAAAGATAAATGCATCATGAAGATGTTTTGCTCCCTTTCGGCAAGTGACGAGGCGGAAAGACGGGATGGTACCTTTTCACAAATTTCTTTTTCTGGAAGAACAGCGAAGAATGGCGCGAATACCCCTGTTCCGCAGCGACAAATCTGCTTGAACAGTGGTTGTTGATTCTCGGCGATTAAGCGGTAAGTAATACGTTCACGGGTTAAAATTCGTAGGACTAATCGAACGGCATAAACAAATCCTATGGATAACAAAGCTGGAACGAATCAGTACCGGTTTGTATCGACTTCCTTCCCGAAACGACTCAAGCTGAGAGAGACTCCGTGGTGGAGGTCACTGGATATCCTGGACTAGTTGTGGTTGTGACGTCCAACAGAGCACGGGCATCTACCATGTCAGCTTCATATAAATGTAGTCCAGAAGCGGTATTTAACCCGCGTCTTTTGAGTCGCCATGTAAGCACTACGAACACTGTGCCACAGTGTTAGACAAGTCGGAATCTTCACGGTGTTGATGTCAGCGTGCTTGCTGCGGTGTGTCGTACGCCCACTGTCAACAGCGTCAAGGCTAAATATGCTCGCTATATTAGGAAGTGTAGTATCTTCGTCAATGGTTGTTGCATGAGGTGCCGTTTGCTCCGTTTTCTCGACTTGTTGGCGGGCATATACATGGCGTAACCTGGCCGACGCCTCATTTCAAGGTTCAGGAAGCTATGAAAAGGCTAGTATACAAACATCTCTAACGATGCACTGCTGTAGTGAAAGACAGAAGACTTTTTGGGACACGCCCACTCCGCTCACTATTAGCTTAGATATGCACACACAAATACACTCGCAAGGCTGCCCACGTTACAAAACTAATGAAGGTTCCTGCCTTTATTTTTTTTTTCAGCTCTTCTAAGAACTGTTCTGCCAGAACTTAAGCTTCTAGATGCTGCGCCAAATATGCTACAGGAAACCTTGTTATTTAACTCATGACATCGTCACCGCCTCATCCTGCGTTTCTTATGTATAGAAGGACATGCATCAGTTACGTAATCACCAGACAAATTTACTGCAAACTACTGACGGGTCACCGTGAAGCTGTCGGCAATCAGCATGTGATAATCGATGGCCATGGGCAACTGCTGAATGCGTTATATAATCTAACTACTAAAAACTGATGAACAAGTTCTTCGCCTGTGACAGCGTAGCGTCACCTGCCTAGCAGTAGAAGTGCCATTAATCAGTGAGTAACTAATACCTAATCTATTAGTCATTCACATAGTTACTTAGTGAGTAACTGACACTTATTTGTACTTTGCTAAAAAGCCAATAGTGCAGGAACCTGCATGTATTAAGATCACAGGCTCAATACGAACGCTTCGAATCCACAGCGGGATTTCTTGTGGATCCAAATCCTTGCTAAAAGTTTACATGAAGAATGCAACAACATTTACTTACTGTCGACCTCGTTCTTCGCGACAACCAAAATGAAATACTCGCCATCAAGAACCATTTCACCTTCGACAAAACACCGCGTTTTGATAACACAAAGAACGCTGTACTTCTCAGAGCAGCAATACGTACAGGCACCTTCTTACAGCCGTCATCTTTGCCATTGTTTCCCACCGTCGTAGTGTCCCCTGGATTTTGTTCTAGGTGCGAAAACAGCGCATCTCGGTTACATTGTGGCATGCCGTGGTGGTTGCGGTAGCTATGTAGCTGATGATGCTAAAATAAGGCAATCGCCGTGATGCTTGCGCTTATGGCGTGGTCATTTTGGCTTACAGTATCATTTGTTGAGAGAAGAACAAGGAGCTTTTGAGTAATACTGAAATATACTAATTGGTTTTACGTGACGTACTGTGAGGCTAACGAGCACAGAAGCCTGGACAACCAATCAGCAGCCTTTTTTCTGACGAAAACGTGTTGCACAAATACTATAAAAGAAGAAAAAAGCCATGTATATTTATAAACCATTCCTACTCGCTGATCATATTCGCGGTTACAAATCGCTAAAGAAGAGCGATGCAAAACAGTCCTTTGAATACCATTATCCCTCACAAAGTACTAAAATTTAGGATAATATTAAAATATTCATTACTTGCCCGAAGCATGATATTCTTTTAAAGGACTGCCTGCGGGCATACTTCTCGTGATATTTGAGCTAATGGGAGCAAATGGGGCACTTACAATTATGCGAATGGGTATTTATAGGAGTGCGTATATTTTCTAGCAAAGCAAGGGTATTCTTTAAATTGACTATATTGTGGTCGAGCATTGAACCCACGCGTTGGAGTGCACCAGTGTGACACTTCAAACACTTAGTTGCCGCAAGATGTCAGAGAAAAAACTATTGGTAGTAAATTTCAAAACTCTTTTTTTAGCTGATAACAAACTTCAGCTTCATTACTCAGTCTCCGAGTCTTAAACAAAAGTGCAGATAATGACGAGAAATTGGGTCTCATCAATCGCAGATTATTGAAAACTAAATACTGTGCTGCAGTCTTTTGTTTTCGGCACGTCCGTAAGGCGTTCAGTATTTGTCATGGTGAGTACGCGACAGTAACTATTCGATAAAAATGCTTAAAGTGAATTACGGGCGTACGCTTCGATCACTAGTTATCGCAATTTCATTATAATAGACAGCAGACATTTTCAATGAATTGATTGATATTGATATGTGAGGTTTAACGTGCAGAACCACCATGTGATTATAAGAAACGCCGTAGTGGAGAGCTCCGGAAATATTAACCACCTGTGGTTTTTTAACGCGCACCCAAATCTGAGCACACTGGCCAACAGTATTTTTGCCTTCATCTAAAATGCAGCCGCCGATGTCGGGCTCCAATCCCACGACCTGCGGGTCAGAAGCCGAGTACCTTAGCCACTAGACCCCCGCGGCGCAATCAATGAATTGGGCAAGATCATATCACCCCTTTACTGTTATTTGTCGGCAGATGTATATTGAACAAACGCAGCAAGCTACTAAACAGCTCTTTGCGAATTTGTTCTTGCATTACGTTTCTTGCAAGCATTGTTGCTCCACCAACATCTGACATTTTCTGCCGGGAAAAAACACCTGCTGATGGCGTCAGAGGATGAATGTGTGACCATGGTGTGACTGCGCCTCAACTGATTCACGTACACGTATTTGCTTTAGCGTAAGTGGCTCTTATCAGGAGCCGCGATGACATCGCAGCCCGCGTGCGTTACGCCAGCGGTCAGCGATGACGAAAGCACGTCAGCACACTTACGCGGAACTCCATGGGGAAGATCCTTGCTTTCGCGGTGGTGTTCACAGACGCACAAGATAACATATGAAACTGGCTCGCAAAAGTGCAGTATACCGTGGCAATAACCTTTTGCACTAACTTGGAAAAGAAG